CTTTATCTTCGTTTCGTACACGCTTAAACCCCAAAACATTTAATGGCATCTGCAGTTCTGTTTTTGGCAATCTCCACGTTCTTTGAATTCATATGCATCATTCTCTATGGATACATCTTCCCCAAAATTCCAATTGTGAAGTACTATCGCGCAAAGGCAGCTTCTGAGGGATCAAAAACTGTTGCTGCAGATTTAGCTGCAGCTGGCCTCCAGACAAATTCAGTAAATGACCCAAATGCCCCCCCCCCTCTATGTCAACACACAAGTTCATAATAATTTGCTCAAACATTTGATATTAACTTGTATGGTCTCCAACAGGCTGATGATGCCAAGCAGGTGGCGAGGCTGACCAACTGGCAGTTGTTCACTCAAAACATTGATTATGCATTGGACCTCTACCTCATATACGTTCTGACTTTATCGATCTTCCCTGGATTTCTATATGAGAATACCGGAGAACACAATCTTGGATCATGGTAAAAAGGGAAAATTTACATTACCCTTGTTGACTACATAATATCCCCATCAAACACCTAAGGCTAAAAAGACAATTCCCAATGTTTTGCACAACTTATATTCTTAACTTTCAAGGAACCAACTCAACCAAAAGCTCAAGGAAAAGTTCAAACCTTTGACATTAACATGTACGTTCTTTTTCAGGTATTCGGTTGTTCTGATTGCTATGTATAACATTTGGGATTTGGTGTCGAGGTACACTCCCATGATCAAGGCAATTGAGGTGAAATCCAGAAAGTGGCTAATGATATTGATATTGTCGCGTATCTTGTTGATCCCGTGCTTCTATTTCACTGCCAAGTATGGGGATCAAGGCTGGATGATCTTCCTCGTATCTTTCCTAGGACTGACGAATGGCCATTTGACAGTTTGTGTCCTCACTAATGCTCCTAAAGGTTACAAGGTTGGGGTTCTTCTTGAATTCTTGGTTAGATTATTCTTGATGATGGTAGTAATACAGTTCTTTGTAAATAAAAATTAAATCTTTTTGTCTTTTTTTAATAGGGACCGGAGGCAAATGCATTGGGTAACATTCTTGTTATGTCCCTTCTTTGTGGCATATTTTCTGGAGTGGCTCTTGACTGGCTCTGGCTCATTGGCCATGGCAGTTTCTGAGGAAAAAGTAAACTATTTTCTTATTTCAAGTAAAAAGATTGGGTTCCCCTTAGATACTTAGATGTTTAGAATTTACTCGGGTAATAATAATTATGCTACCCTATTTATCTACTCAGGTGTTTTTTTTTGGCTTCAAGAAACATGTGTTTTCGTTTATTTATGTGAATATTTTGCAGATGGTGGGGGTCCAAATTAATGGGAGTAAATTTTACTTTCTTCATCCCATAATTCTTTTTCTTTCTTTTTTTTGCCTTTTTTGCGGTGATGAATCCAAAATTTGACCTTGATATTTCTATGTTTGAATAATCATATATATTGCAGAGTATAAAAATATAATATTTCAAAATAATATTCAGAATAGATTTATTAATTCTTCAGCTGATTTCTCTTACGAACAAAAAATAAGTGGTTCGGAATAATTTTTAATTCAACCATAATTTGATTCTGTTCAGTTGCATGTCACAAATTCACAATAATTTGTGCATAAAATCCGCCAAACTGCTATCGCAATAGTGTGTGCGCCTTGATGGGTGTCGTTTAATAATGTGAAGTTTGTCCTTTTGACTTTTATCGTATGACTTTTAAAAAAGTTACGTATAAGATATTCTTATTGTCTGATTTATAGTTTTGTTAGGTTTCATGTGTCCTTTTTTGACTTCTGTCTCATTTGATTTTAGTCTATATCGCACAATCGGTTATACGTAAAATTGATCCTATTTTCTATATATATTTTTATCGATTATTTGAAAAAATAATATAATCTTGTCATCACTTGTTTTTTAAAACTGTTGATAAAGTTTTGTAATATTTCTGTCCCACAAAACTTTTCAAAGACAAAAAAGTTAAACTAAAAAAATGTGTAGTTTTGGTATAATTTTCTAATTATGACTCATCTATTTTAAACATTATATTTTGCCTTATAAAAATATAAATTTTTTAATTCTACGCCAATTGTTACTTACATTGATTTAAACATAACTTCAGCTAAACATCGTAAGCCGATCATGAGCCCTATTTTGAGACGGAGGGTGTATTGATTTTTAACCAATGAAAAGTTCATTTTGAATATTTTTTTGTTCGTTCTATAACCATCAAATATTCATTTCTGCAAAATACAATACTTATTTTCACAAAACAAACCTAATATTCATTTCAATTATTACTCCTTTCATCCTAAAATTATCTTTGCAATTAAGATTCAGATGGTTAAATTCTATTCATTTTTTACTTATTTTCACTAATCATTTGATAAAAAAATATAGTCATGTCACCTCTAGTTTTTTAAAAGTTTTGATGTATTTTTAAATATATAAACTTTATTTTTAACTTTTACATTTATAATCAAATATATTGAATTAAAAATAAAATTGGTCAAACATCGTGAACTGAAAGTAAAAGTTAATTTTAGAAAAAGGGGAGTGTATAAAATCTTCATTTACAAGTAACATAATACTCATTTAAAATACTCACGGTAACACCACCACCTCCTCCACCCACCTTCAAGCGCGGTAGCGACGACAACGTGGCCCCAAGGCCTGCAATCTAGGCGGCAGGTGGCGTGGCTGTTGGCTCTCCATGCTCGCGAACTGGCTTTGCGCAATGATAGGAGAAGAGAGGCTTTTTGCGAACGGGAAACAGAACCCTAACTAACCAGCGCACGATGGTGGCTGGACGGTCGTGACTGTGGCACTCTAGATTTGGCTTCCGCAACTAGAGTGTTGATACAAACACGCTATCGATCAGCCAATTAGTCTCCTTATGCGTTTGCCGTGCGTTTCAGCCTATTGTTGCTAAAAATAGGTACGACCAATTGTAACATATAACCATGGTTGTTCATGTTTAGGACTTTAGGTCTTTAGTTCGATCCGATCTGTTTCGGTCTAGTTTTTAGATTAATGATCATCCCTACATATAACTTGTGGGACTAATGTAGTATATTGTACAAAATTTTAGTTGTATACGAGTAATTATATTGGCCAAGTTGCTCTTATACCCCATGTGGTTTGAAAAATCTGCACCAATACCCCCATGTGTTTTTTCCTTTTTAAATTCTTTTTCATCTCTTTGTATTTTAAAATTACTTTTCTAATTTTTAAATTTGCAGCCATCCGGCAAACGTCTTTTGGTCGCCGAATCAAGGAACCGAAATGAGACCCTTTCTTGCTTCATCTAGGGTTATACACTCGCGCAAGAGATAGAAATCGTGCCTTTGATTGACACTGCTCAGCACCCCCCCCCCCACCACCACTATTGTGTGTCGTCAGTCGCTCTCCCCGCGCTTCACTTCATCGTACCTAAGGTTTGGCCTCCCTTTCGATCGTCGCTTCAATTTGAAGCCGCTGTAACGCAAAAACAGTACAGCCTGTTATACTTATACCATATAAGTTGCGCTAGGGGTGAGCAAGTACCGAACCGAACCGAAATTTCCTGAAAAACCCAAGAATACCGAACCGAAAAATACCGAACCGAAAAAGTACCGAGAAGACACCGAACCGTACCGAACCGAATGGTCGGTACGGCATTCGGGAACGGTACGAGGTGACGTCCCATACCGAAAATCCCGTACCGAACATATATACTAAAATATTATAAAAATAATACCCTGAAGTAATATTTTTATGTATTCCTTCACTGAATTATAAATTTTTTTAAAAAAATTTGGTTCAAGTTTTATTATGTGTAAATTATACTTTTATTTGAGTTTTAATTATTGTGTATGAGCATAAAAGTATTCACAAAGATTCAAAATAATCCTTTGTTGTCATTCATTTTTTAGTTTGTGAAATATAAGCTAAGTTTTTGATACGCATCTCTTGCATTTAAATATTCATTTTTTAAATTTTTCATGTTTTTTATTTAAATTCACTTTTAATTTTAAAAAATAAAAGGGTATTGTTAAATTTTTAACGTGTAAAGTATGTATGTATCTTCATCCCGATTTGTACCGAAACCGACACCGAACCATCCCGAACCATACCGAACCAATATTTCGGGATCGAGATCGGTACGGAGTAAAATCCCATACCGAATCGAAATATTTGGTACGGTATCAGTATGAGCTAAATATCGTACCATGCTCACCCCTAATTTGCGCTTAATGTTTAGGGTATTTTTTCTTAAAAATGAAATTCCCCTAATATATTTTTTAAAAAAAAATTAAAACCAAAACCCCCCAGGGTCTCTTCTCCGGCGACCCACCCCTCCCCTCTCCCCTTGCACTCTTCTCTTCCCCGGCAACTAACTCCGACCCATCCTTTCCATGGCAATGTTTTTTTACGGTCCAGATTGCATCTCGGAATTTAATTAACAAAAACCATGGCGGGATTAAACCTCCGTTCTGTGCTTCTGTTCTCTGCATTTCTTCGATTGTTCCTGGTCCTCTACGGCGAGTGGCAAGATGCCCACATGGAGGTCCGGTACACCGACGTCGACTACCTCGTATTCTCCGACGCCGCAGCCCTCATGGCCAAAGGTGAATCCCCTTACCAGAGATCCACCTACCGCTACTCACCCTTCATCGCCTTTCTCCTCATCCCCAATTCCTTCATTCATCCTTCTTGGGGCAAGTTCCTCTTTTCTGCATCAGGTATCCATTGACAAACAAAAGTTCTAACCTTTCTCAAACTTGAAAGTTAGTGTTTTTTAGTGTTGATTGTTTATCTGCGGCAGATCTGCTCGTGGGGTTTCTGATACACAAAATCTTGAAGCTAAGAAGGGTGCCGGAGAGATTAATTACCTGCTCGGTAATGGTATGGCTATTCAATCCATTCACATTTACAATTGGAACTCGCGGAAACTGTGAACCCATTGTTTGTGCCATTGTCCTTTGGATCATTATCTGTCTCATGAAAGGCAAGTCTTTGATAGCTTTAAAGTCTATTTCTAGAAATTAGTTATATGGAGTTCCCAATTCATTTTGTGAATTAAAACTAGATTGAACATAGCAGTAATGTACTAAAATTTTTGCCCCATCTGACCTCAAGTCTTTATGGAATCAGTTTATTAATTGTAGTTTCTGCACTTGACTGTTATCCACATGTTAAAAAGAAAAAAAAAACTTTTATCTCTATGATGCCCCTCGTGTTTACTTGTTTTCTTGATCACAGGTTCTATTCTGCAAGCGGCAATTTGGTTTGGGTTTGTTGTCCACTTGAGAATATATCCTATTATTTATGCACTACCCATAATTTTGGTTCTTGATCCTTTAAACTTTCAGCCTTGTACCACACCTGCACTTACAGATTGGAGTTCTATAAAGAATCCCCAGGCAGCAGATGGTTCTTATCGCGGAAAACGTTCTTTTTGCGCTTTCTTGATAAACATGTTGTCTTGGAGGAGAGTGATGTTTGGACTTGTTTCTGGTGCTGTGTTCTTTATGTCAACTGGGTTTTTCTTCCATCTGTATGGATGGGAGTTCTTGCACGAAGCTCTGCTATATCATCTCACTCGCACTGACCCAAGGCACAATTTTTCCATATACTTCTACCACATATATCTCAACTATGAACGTGATTTCTCAGTCTTGGAAAAGCTAGTCTCTTTTCTTCCTCAGGTTATGGTCCAGATTGCACTGATCTTCTCTTTTGCCCATGACTTCCCCTTCTGCTTTTTTGTGCAGACGGTTGCATTTGTTGCTTTTAACAAGGTTTGTCAACAATACCAATCGATCTATTCTAGCTTAGTTAAGAGTTAATACTTGGTTTGGTCCCTTGCTTATACAAAAAAATATACTGCGTATATAATATAATCCCAAATCTGTTGGAGTCCTTCACCTGTACTCTATTACTCAATCTGGTCCTCAACTTTGCAATTTAGACTTAATTTAGTCATTGTGTGTATCTCGCTCTAATTAAGATGGTATTTTTGTACATTGAATTGGGTCCAAACTCCACAATTACACATTTATGAGCCAGAATGGCTCATAATGGGTCTGAATTACACTCAATGATATAATCGAGTCCAACAAAAAGTTGAGGACCGAATAATCGAGTAACGGTATATGGCCAAATGACTACTGTAACAGAATTCGCTCTAGTCATAAGAAGTGTGACAAAATTACTCCTCAATTGTATACAAACAGGTCATAACAGCTCAATACTTTGTTTGGTATTTTTGTCTCCTGCCATTGATACTGCCTTGGAGTAAGATGAAGCTGAAGGGGAAGGGATTGGTTTGTATTCTTGTGTGGATTGGAGCGCAGACGCATTGGCTGCTGTGGGGTTATTTGCTTGAATTCAAAGGCAAAAATGTCTTCATTCAGCTATGGACATCAAGTTTGATGTTCTTGGCTGCAAACACCTTTGTCCTCACCGCCACCATAACCCACCACTGCTACTCTCCAGTATTCTGCCACCCACGGCGTCCAATTTCAAACAAGTTCGTGAAACGTGAATAGAGAGAGAACCAGCCAAACACTGCCTTAATCGCGCAAACCCCATCTTCTTCATCAGACGCTACCACCAAAACCCAACAGATCTTTTGTGACTCACAGGGCCAACTGATGAGAGGCTCTGGAGGAAGGATGTATGAAATGGACTAAAGAGGCTTTTGCTATAGAAGAACAAGTTTCTACCACAGACAAATAAAGGGAATTTTATCAAAGGAAATGTTCCCTGTTTTGTTTTTTAATGAGGTCCTAATCTTCTGGTACATTATTGAGGCCACAAAAAACATTGTTGTGACAAGTTTCTTCTCTTCTATTGATTTAGGTTCATGATACGGGAGTACATATAGTGGGGCATCATTTTTTCAGCATGATTTTTTTTGTCAAATACAAAAAAAAACACAATTGTCTTCAATATAACGTATCAACATGTATGCATATTGACCATCAATTTAAGCTTTTATTTGAGACTATATGAATATTTTCTTCTCGTCAGTCTTTAAATATTCATTCAGTAACTTTCAAAATATACGGAGTACCATGATCTTCTACACTTAAAATAAATTCAACAATTTATCTTGAAGTAACTTTCAAAATTCCAATTACAATTTATCAATTTAACTGGAAAAAAAAATCATATTAGACAAATACTTTGAGATACAAATAAAAAAAGATTGCAATTAAAATTTAAAAAACTTAGAGGTTCCAAACGGCAATTGATATATGCACTCCAAATGTGGATAATGGCACTCCATTTTTTGTCATCTTTTTATATATAGACAATAATACCCTTTTAAATTAATGGCGAGTACTAGAGACCATCACATCATTAATTGAAGAATGCTAAATTGATACTTCTAAAATATGGAAGGGTGGTTTCCCTAACATGGAAAGTTTTTTACAACTAATTCCTAGTTGGAAAAAGAATATCCTGGTAAATTTTTGTTTGTTTTCGGCTTAACTAAAGCCAAAACAATTTTTTTTGTTTTCGGCTTTCATAAAGCCGTTTTTTCAAAAAACAATTCGGCTGTGACAAAGCCGATTCAGAGCAATAATTGCGCCTCTGACGGGATTCACTCCTCTACCCTCCTAATTCGCACACCGAATCCCTTCAACTACCACACATTCCAATTCTACTACAAATAATCTATTCTTTCTCTTCTTTTCATACAAAATTTATAAACTTTATCACTATTTCATCCATTCTCACACCTAATCTTTTCAACTACAACCATACTCCACTACTAATTATCAATTCTTTCCCTTCTTTTCTCACTAAAGATTCAAAGTTTATCTATTCTTCCATAATCATCCAAAAAGTTGAGGTATGTTTTCTTAGAATAATACTTTATAAGTTTTTTAAATTTTACAATATGTAATGCATATTTTTTGTAAACAAGGTATTTGTATTTTTTAACAATTTATTGTACCATGAGTAGATAGAAGTTCACTAATATATTCTTTTGAAGCATAATGTATGACTCTGAGGGAGAAATAGCGGGTCCTAGATCGCGAAACCTTACTTTACAAGTTAAACATCGTTCACATAAAGTGTGGCATGACCCAACATTTATAGACAACAAAGTCTCTCCGGTTCGCTACGAAGGTAGTCTTCCAACGGTTTTTTCAAGATGATAGTCTATAAAATGTTGCACCGGTCAGGATTTTATAGAGTGCACCGTATGCAACCTATCCGATTAGATCATGATCTTATCACTTGCCTGTTTTATAAAACTCTTGATTTAGTTTTAAAATATATTATGTATAAATTTACTCCATATTCTTTAATTCTACACCAATTTTTAAATAAATTGGTCATAAAAAACGAATACTCATTTGCACACTAAAAATACAAGAACATAAACCATTTGTAAAATTAAGTTGGACATTTCTGGTTACACATAGTAGCATTGTACCAACTTGAAAGGCTATTGTTGTCATTTTCAAGAAATATAGACACGAGTGGAGCGCCTTTAACTTGTGGAGCGCTATCAATTCCCGCTCCAAATTTGCCACAAAAAAAAAAGAAAAGATGAAGAAGAAGACATTTTATGTGGAATTTGCACTGTCAAGAACTAACTTATTATACATATTGAAGACACTGCAGATTCGACTATGGTTTAGTAAAAAAGAAAAAGATTCCCCCAGGGATTATCCAACAGCCAGGCTGACAAGCTTTTGAAAACCAAAATGCTACATACAAAGTAAACTTTTCCCTAACAAAATTCAACCTTGGCACAGTTTTGTGTGAACCAAAATGCAGTGTTAATTGCAAGACAAAGTTTTCCCAGATGAAATTGGAAGGGGAGATTATGGAGCCATAATTCCCTCTATTGTGTACGCTAATGACTTTGCCCAGTCAGCTTTGAGCAGCAAAGCCTGCAGCGTTTGCATTATGTCATAATCAGGATCGAGTTTCCTTTGCCAACCCTGTCCAAAAAACAACCCATGGATAGCACTCGGCGTGAGAGAACAAAACAAGATTCAGAATTTTGGTTTCTTTGACTTTCTTTTCTTTAGTGTTCCCCTTTCTTTCATAATTCCCTCAACCAAACAGTGCGAGGGTATGTTTGAATTACGGAGAATGCTAGAGAAAGGAAACCAAATGTCAATGTAAGATTAAGACCGATGTCAGATGTTACTTTTAAGACTAAGAAAATCCAACTTCGGAACCAGATTAGACCACAAAGATATAGAGGAGACATTCACACCAAGTCGGAATAGAAAGATTCAAGCAAACCAAGATCTTTAGAAAAAATATA